GCTGATAATTGTGTATCAGTAATTGAATCAAATAAGGCTATTATAGGTAAATATAAAAAAATCACTTATAGGTTTAACTAAATTATTAAATATTGTACTGAACAATACATTTGCACTAAAATAGTAAAGTTATTTGCTTAAAGATGGTAACATTTACGTGTGTTTTATTTATATTCATAACTGTAGGTCCAACTTTTGCAAATAATATTATGCCAAATATTGGCTATGAAATTGAAGACTTCCAATATACATGGCAAATCACAGGCTGGAGAGGTTTGGAAAAGAGGATAACAAGTCCTGAATTTGAAGCTGGAGGCTGGAAATGGTAAATTTAAGTATATAACTCAAATAAATTTCATGTTTAATTAGATATAAACTTAAATTTTAGGCGCATTTTGTTATTCCTTCCGGAAATAATAACAATTCACTTCTTTCCGAAAATGATAATCCAGAAGTCGTTTCGATTTATCTAGATTTTGCTGATCCAAAAGGAGCACCTGTCGGTTGGCATTCCCAGGTGCAATTTTGTTTGCACTTATGGAATCCAGAAGATCCAGCACTAGCTGTTTCTCATTGTACGTATTAAATTTTCATCATTAATAATCCATGCCACTAAAAATTTTAATTTTTGATTACAGATGCATATCATATATTCACTGCTAAAGAATCATATTGGGGATTTGCGAAGTTTTATGACCTGCATAAGCTGTTCTATCCATTCGAGAATCACACTCATTCACTAATAGAAAACGATAGTTGTAATATTACAGCCTTTGTTCGTATTTTAAAGGATCCAACTGGTACCCTACACATTATAAAGTATTCTTTCATATTTTGATTATACTGCATTATTATGACTTTGAAATTACTTTTTTTCACATAAACCTTTTCATATATAGTGAAGCAACAAAAGCCGAAGAAAGTCACTTATACTTGTATACTAAAGTAACTGTGACAATATTATGTGAATTTAACAATGAATTTATATTATTCATAGTAATTTAAACTTTCAACTCAATTTTTCACCATTAGATTGTGACTCCAGCTACCTTTGAACGCCATCAAGGGTTTGATCTCGCAAATTTGAAATATCCGCTATCAGAAGTTCTGCGGTTTAAGGCTTCAAAAACTGAGACATATAGGACTTTCAAGGCTAAGATTGCTAGCAAATTTGAAGTTTCAGTTGAACAAATAAGATTCAGGGTTTTTAGTAAACGACTTAATAAGACTGTTAGGCCAGATGTTCCAATAAAAGATGATTGTCTTGGCATGAGTAAGTTATATTTAAAGCACGATTCTTTTTCATTTCGTAAAAACCTCTATCAATAATAATTTTTTTGATAATGATTTTTGTGATGTATAGCAATGGAAGAAATTCACACAAAAATGGCCACA